GTCTGACCAAACTGAACTATTGAATTTCTCTGCTGTTCTATGGAAACCTATCTGTGACCCTTGAGATTAAGTCATAATTATTAATAGTTAAGATAACTGTTAATTGTTTCATCACCAGGTTTAGAAATCCAGTGTCTCTTATTGTTGTTTGAAAATGAGACATATAAGATACAAGCATTTGAGATATAATGCCGTTATAAAGGGACCATCATTTTGGACTTCATTGTTTGAATGCAGACATTTCAAGTCTGTAGGAATTTCAAACCTATAGTTTATTTAATAGTTTTGTCTATTTGCTTTAGCCAACATATTATTTAGTATGCTGCTGTTGTAGCTTTGCAATGATGGAACCTTTTTGCTGCAACTAAAATTTAGGAAAATATAATGACTAAATGCAAAAATATATATTAAGACAATCCAACTCAGTCAATGTAAATCTGGGGTCTTTTCTGTCATTTAATTTAAAATCAGATATTGAGTCAACGGGAAAAACTGTACTTCTTGACTTATTGCCCTGGAGTTTTTGTTGTGAGCTATACGCTGGGTGAAGAGCTGCACTCCAGGCCCTGAGTGCTTTCAGCTTTCCACTCTGCAGGATCTGTGAGTGAAACATCTGTTTTTAGCCACAGATTGCCTGTGTGTACTCCAGCCTTTCTCCCACTGCTTCTGTGGTGATAATAATTACTACATGTTTTATTTAAAACACTTTTATCAGGGCAGAAACACTACAAGGAATAAAAGCTCGAACATTAAAATGGGGTGTCCCTGTGAGAATAGCAATACACTGGTCCTCCTCACCGGCTCAGAGACTTGGCCTGTGCAGCACAGTCAATACCATCAACGAGTTTGGAACTGTTTAAATGAAAAGACAATGTTGAACACGTGCCAAGCTCCTGGAGTCTGGAGTCCTCCTGGAGTCTGAGTATCGACTTGACTACGATTTTTTTTTTTAAATGTAGAGAAAATACATTTGTATGCAGATAAAGTTGTTTCACACAAAAAGGTTTAATTCAGAAACAACAAAATAAAGATAGAGCAGTTGAGGCCTTTTTAAGTGCAGGGTTGGATAGGTCTGACATGAAATCCCATAAAAGGCCAAGACTGTCCCTCAGTAAATTCTGACCCTAACCCCACAAACATGTATTACTGCAGCAGTGGGGGCAGCAGAATACAAAGTTAACACATTTGTCACTTAAAGGTCAAGTGTGTAAGATTTAGGTGAAAGGGATCTATTGGCAGAAATTTAATGTAGAATAATCCTCATGATGTTTTCACTAGTTCGTTTCATCTAAATTGTATGAATTGTAGTTTTCTTTACCCCAGAAAAGGTCCTTTATATTCAAATACTTTATATTTACATGGAGGGTTTTTTACATTAGTTATATTTGCATCGAGGGGACCCTCTCTACGGAGGCCACCATGTTTTTTACATTAGTCCAGACTGGACAAACTAAACACCTTTTGAGTTTTTATGACAACTGAAGCTACCACAGGTTCTTTTTCACGTTTGGAAGGAGAGGGTGAGGTGAGGGGTGTTCAGCTGCAACATGCAACTTCAACACTAGATATCACTAAATTCTACACACTGTACCTTTAAGAAAGTTTGATTGTCGAGCAGCAGCGATGAAGACTTTGAACTTTTATTCTCAGCGATACCAAATGCTCGTTGACCAATCATTAACCAACAAGAATAAAATGTTCTATTTTAGAAAGGATGAGTGTCTGTGACACACACAAAAAAATCTGTATTTTATGTAGCACTTTTCTAGTGTTGATGAGCCCTGAAAGCACTTTACAGAACAGGTTTCTGCCATTCACACACACATTCATCTGGGCAGCACTTCTTTCCTCTGAGAACGGCACAGCCAATTTGGGGTTGAGTAGCTTTCAGTAGTTTCCCAACATGCTGTGCGCTGGACCTGCAGAGCTTTTTATAAACAGTCTATGAATCAGAGTGGAGTCAGGAAACTTTGCGTTGATTCTACCTGGTTTGTCTACAGCGAACATTTTATAGTCAATGTTTTCCATGAATCGAAACTGAATTCGTTTTATTACTGTTCACGTGTGTGGCTTATATAAGTTTGAATGATGACTTGACTGGTGTGTGTCTGAATGTTTTGCTTTTACTTTGAAGTGATGCTCTGGATGTTGTTGCCGTGACACAGATCAGAACCTGGGCTGTTTGTCCGTGTCAGCATGATATGAGAGCACTGGTTGCTTGTTTAACTTTTCGTTGATGCACACACACCAAATTGCACTTTATATGACATTGCACTACCCACTGAGAATACACATAAATAAAACGACTTGCGAGATATTTGTTCCAGACACAGACATACTGTGGAATAAGTAGGTAGATAATCATGTAATGCGTCTTCAGATTATGTCTAATTTGTTAGCAGTTGTTGTAAATGACACAAAACACTGGACCTAATAAAGCTTACTTTAGAAATAATGCAGCCATAATGTCTTCCTCAGGGTGAACATACAGACTGTAATGTTTCCGTTCCTTATCTGGTGGTGGTGGTGCATGCCTGCCTCCTCTGGCTCTTACCTGACCAGGTATTCTAAAGCCCTGCTGTCCCCACAGGCCACAACCCCACCCGTCTCAAACGATAATGCCGTCAAAGACACTTAGCAGCCATTATTTCAAGGTTCAATTATTATCACGTCAACTTGAGTCACAGGCTACATCTAAACCTCCCTTTTTCTTTTTCGTCACAACAAATTCATTACGTTCCCTCCAACTAGTGCTACACTTCGTTATCCTCTATCCTAATTTAGATGTACTCCTCATCCTCTCAGCCATTATTACTGTTGCAGGGCTCTCTGGATTAATCAGTCTTTCCACATTACCACCCTGCAGTAATTGCACTAAATTAGTATATTATTACCATTTCAATTCCCCCCTCATCCTTTATTGTTGTCTTTATATTACATATGAATAATTTAGTTTCATTTTCATGTTATTTTAATCTGTATTGATTAGAATTAGCTTGTTTGTCTAAGTTTGTGTGTGTGTGTGTTTGTGCATGTGTGTGTTTGTGTGTGAATGTTGGTAGAGAGGAGATGAGGGGGATGGGAAGCCTAACGTCCAACAACTGTTTATTTATTCATTATGCCTTTTCTATTCTTCTCTTTTCTCTCTTCATCTTCTCCCTATTTATATATAAATATAGATACAAATGTGTCATGAACGACATGATTGTTTTGTCCCATGATAGTATTGTATCTTTGTACGTATGTATATGTGGTATATACATGTGCATGTGCGTGCAGGACAAAATATTCAGCAATAACTGAAGATCACTTTCAGTTTTCTAAATTCCACACATTTCTGTTCACTATGTTGTTGGGATGAAGCCACATGGTTTAGTTTGCTTACAGAGGTGATTGTATGTGAGGGGCATTCACAAAGAATAATGTGTGCAATGTGTCAATTTAACAACTCTCAGACTTGTTATATTTTCGTACTACAGCCTCAAATGTGCAGACCCAGTGATGATCAGTGTGTGCCTCCTGAAGCCTGTACTAAAGAATAGGATATGTGCTTAGAGATGTAACTTCAGGTTTGACCCTGCATGGGTTCTCAGGGTTGGTCCACCTCTTACCGAGGTAAATCGCCACAACTTAAAATACACAATAATCTGCTCTGGAGCAAGAGTGTGGTTGTCAGGCTCAGTGAAGTCCGATTAGCCCGGGTTAACTTAAAACAGTTCTATGTTTATTTTCTATGCGCACTTTCTGCAAATATTTAATATTCCTGCACATTTTTAATTCCTCTGTATATATTGAAATCCTATGCAAATGTTTAATTTCCCTGTAAAAGTTGAATTTTGCTTCAACTGTTTAATTTAATTTAATTTCCTTAATTCCTCTGTACACATTTAAATTTACATTCATCTCAGGCCAATTTCTACTTATGCATGAGAGTTAACTTATAACACTGTAACCATGAGTCTAATGTATGTTCAATGTATGTTACTGCCACTGGATGCTTGAATTTCCTTCGGGATCAATAAAGTATCTATCTATCTATCTATCTAATGAAGTTATCCTCAGGAGGCTGACACGCTTCCTGTTGGAATGATTCTCAACTGTGACAGAGGATAACCTCTTGTATTCCTCTAAAATGATGTGAAACCACACAAACCATGAATTAAAGCATCATTTAAAAACACTTTTGAGAATTTCAAAATAATTGGAGCAACAAGAGCCAGAGTATAGAACAACAGAGTCTACGTGATTGTCCAAAGAAAAACTTTCTTTACAATAAACTGAACAGTTGTAAATTTTAATAGCTTATAGAAACACATGTATCACAATAAAATCATAAAAACAAGCAAATGACCATTCAATTTAAAAACCTTCATTTTAAATGACACAATTTCAATTACAATAAAGACTCCATGGGATTTGTATAATTTAAACAGCTTCACAAAAAGCAAAATACATCCATCCTCCATTACAAACATGTTTGTAAATGCTGAACACACTGGAGAAGTTTGGTTTGCTTTGGCAAACAGATTCTCCACCTAAACATGATGTCACACACACAGATCTGTTCTAATGTCACCTGGACGTCACTGCCATGGTGGCTGAATACACAGGATGTGTCCAAGTGTTGAGGGACAGTAGAAACACAGTAGAGACTTTTTGTCACTTAAAGGTTCAGTGTAGTAAACACAAGTGAGCACATTAAAATTTGTACCTTGAAATCATTGGGAACAATTGGGAACAATGCATGTTACATCAAAACTAAATACTTTCACCTTGAGTAGAAAATATTATTTCCCAGGAGAATCACTGTTCTGTAAATTGGAACTATTAATCACAGCGGTAAACTAGAACGGCACTATAACTCCTCCAAGGCCCAACAATCCTCTTATATTCAATCAAGTATTTGGGTGAAGTTAAAAACATCATCTTCACTCGCCTCACCATCTGATTTGATTATGATTCAGCAGTCAATGATTCAAATGCACATCGATGCATTTCAATGTATCACATCCGCAATTTTCTATATTACTGCGCATGGCTGCTTTTTCATCGGTTAATAAAATCAAAGTCAGACAAACCTGAACTCTGTTTTTATTTAGAAAGTGCTTTAAAAAGTATTATACACCGTTCCCGTTAGTACAATTGTGCCGTAATTTACATCATCCCCCACCCTGATTTCACATTCACTCAGTTCAGACTTGTGTGCTGCACCAAGGACTCTGATTACAGCCTTTACTGTATCAAGGTGGCCCTGCCTGTGTGAGTGTGTGTCTGCTCATCTGTCCCTCTTCACAGACAAACTGATGATCACATGTATTTAGTTATTAATCACTGATGTCGGATCATGGCTCCAGATCGTTCCGGTCGCTTTGACCCTGATGTCCTGACTTGTGCGCGTCACGTCATGTGTTGTGTAGCAGGTTTAATTATGTGTCTCATAAACTCTTGAGTGAATCAAACAAGCACAAAGTAAACGTCAGTCCTGTACGTGTCCTAATAACTACTGATCAGTGATGGTGTTTATTGGAAAGGAGTCAAGTGAGCGCAGGTCAGAAGAGGAGTCAGGAGGCAGCTCCGACAGAGACTCAGTACAGGACGACCGAACGTTTAACATGCGTCTGTCCTGATCCTGGAGCAGCGGCGTCATTATTATTCGCTGTGGAAAACAATGAATGTAGCAGAAAACATGAATCGATTATGTTCTGTCTCTGCGTTGATGCAGTCATCTGTAGTGATCTATCTAAGAGGTGAGAAATCTTCACACTTCTAACGCCCACTTCCTGTTGGTGAATCCTGCGGAGGATCGCCGGCAGTGTTCTCACATCAGCTCCTGTGTATTCTGCAGGCTTTACACCATGGGGCTGGCTGGCGGAAAGTCCAGAGGCTTTCACTAGGACATCAGCGTTCTCACATAAAGCCCCTCCAGAGAATGTCCGGAGGATCTACGGAGTTCAGTGCATGTCTGAAAGCAGCTGATGAAAACAGTGCACTGTGTTGTCTGGGGAAAAACAACACACCAAAGCCCAACCCCCACAACGTCCTTGAACACAAATGCCTCATAAATCCCAAATTAACCCTCATTGCTTTTAAGTGGTTCCACAAAAATATTGAGGTTTACACTCAGCCACATTCTGCCAAGATGGCCCAACGTGACGAGGAAACGTTCCAACTCTCTGGATACGTCCATACTTCTGTGTGATAACCTCTGACCACGGTTACAGCTGCACCTTTGGCACTGACACCGTATGTTTCCTCATGTGGACCACCAGGTTGCCTTTCTGTGCAAAGGATTTGTTACATTCATGGCACCGATAGGGTCTCTCCCCTGTGTGTATCCTTGTATGGTTGACAAGATCTGACTTCTGACAGAAATTTCGCCCACAATATTGGCACTGGTAAGGTTTTTCCTCTGAGTGAATCTTTACGTGTCTGATCAAAGTCTTAGTCAAGGAGAAACATTTGGTGCAACAAGGACACTTGAAGGGTTTCTGTGCCGTTCCTGCTTCAACCTGCATCAAGAGCTCGGTGGATTTTCCTGTAAGTCTCCTGGGCTGGGGAGGCTTTATCCTGAGATGGTTGGGCTCTGTCCCAACATCGGTCTGCTCACCTGGGTTCACCGAAAGGAGCAGCTGATTATCAGCGTTGGTGCCTGATACGCCATCATGAGCTCCAGTTGGCTCGGTTTTAATGTGATCCACTGGGAGTGCAGCTGAGAGTTCTCTATCTATGTCGGCAACAGTCTGGATTTGATACAGACACAGCGGCTGCAGAGATTCCTGCTCAAACTCACTCCGGTCATAGGGAGCGATGGTTAATGGGAACGTCTTCGCGTCTGATTCGTCACGACTCAGCTCCAGCTTTTCTTCCATCTTACTCACAGGTGTGCTTGATTTTAACTGAGTTTCTGCTTCCACCGTTTCACCGAAACACTGGTAGGGTTTCTCCTCACTGTGTTTCTGTCTGTGAATAAACAGACTGTCCCTGTGCTCAAAGCTTTTGTCACAGTACTGGCACTTGTAAGGTTTGGACTCTTTATGTATCATGGTGTGAATGATGAATTCAGACTTGTGGCAGAAGTAGCGGTGACAGTACTGGCACTGGTAAGAAGAGGACTGGTCCTCTGGATGCTTCCTAATGTGTCGCACCATTGTCTTTTCAGAAGAAAAACTCCTCAAGCAAACGGGACATTTAAAAAGATTCTTCTCCTTCAAATGCATGTCCAGGTCACACTCCTGCTTTATATCATCATCTTCATCAATATTGATCAGAATCTCCTGATCACATTGATGTTTTTCATCATCAGGAGAAGTGCGTAGATGTGTGTCCGCGTTGTGACGTTCCTCTGCTGGCTCTGACCAGGTGTTGACTGGTTCCTCCCACCTCACAGTGATACTGGCAGGGGACTGCTGCTGAGCAGAGGCAGACATCTGGAGGCAGTCTGAAGAAATAAAAGAGATCCATTTTACACACACGCTAATGTGAGTTACAGTAGGAGCTTTTCAAAATAATATTTACTTCGACCAGTTTTGCTCACTGGTAGTTTTCCTGCATAGCTCCGTACAAATGAAAGGAAATACCAACATTAAGTGTTTTAAACCACGTTCAGGCCTGCTGTTCACGTTAGTCCTGAGTGCTCGTTCGCAGGTGGTCAACTAAAAGGTGCCCTGAATGCGTCCTGATCACTCAGACCACATTCAGAGGTGGTGATGCATATGGCTACATTCTTTAAGCAAAAACAAATGGGTCCTGGGCCACATATGAAGGACCGCCTACTCAGCTGACGTCCTCTGACCTGCTGCAGTTTCACACAGAATCAAAAGTGTTTTTACACATTTTAGACTTGGGTATTTCGGCATTTCAACAAAGTGGATAGTATTTGATAGAATCTATTCTCAGTGGCTGGTAAACATGTCGATTAAACCATACAAGGCATCTGTGACTGAGTCTTCCCCATCTGCATGCCGAGGTGTCCATGGGCAAGATACTGAACCCCGAATTACCCCTCACAGAAAGTGTTTCCCATAGATGTATTGTACGAATGTGTGCTTGAATGGCAATAAGCTGAACTATAAAGTGCTTTGATTGGTCATCAAGACTAGAAAAGCTCGATATAAATACAGACCATTTACCACACAAGTTTATAGTGGGAAAATGGTATAGGAGAGAGCCCAAACGTCTGTTTTCTCATCCTAAAACACATATTTACTTGTATGAATGTTCAAAGCTGGATTCACCAAACTGCACAAACTTGTCCTAAATGGCTCTGTTCAGCTTGAAACGTCAACTGTTTATGAGGAGGTGCATAATTCACGATATATGATCATGTGTATAACTGACACCCCTAAAATCTCCATGCCAGGCTGACTGCTGCTATGACTGGGAACATTGCTTCTGCTGGGAAAAACACAAATGGGTCAGAATGATTAATTTACACTTTATTTAATTTAGTAGCAGGGTTAGAGTTAGGTGAGAGTATCAGTATGTCAACTGAGTAAGTCAATTTTGAATGGCAAACTAGTAAGTAACACACACACACACACACACACACCATGTCTCCTTTCTTCCACCAAAGTGAAACCTGTTATTAATGTTTTGTATTTAATAAATGCTAAAGACTGGCTTTTGGCACTCTGATGAAAACTGTACATAATCCTACATGTTCTTCAATATTTACTTTATTCAAGGTGAACTCCATTAATCACTCCATTAACTGCAATTAATATTCAGTGTTGATTCTATATATCATTAGTATTCAATATTCCCTTGTCAAACAACTATTAGCAAAGGCCACGTTTGCCAAAACCCAAAGACATTTCTTGTTTTCATTATTTCCTTTTTTTCTGTAGTCTGTAATGTGATGCAGCCGGCTGTGACGATGTGTAAATCTAACCTGTCTAAATATCTCATCTACAAATGAAGCTTTGTGTTAGTTCATGCATGACACGGCTGTAATCATCTTGTCAGATGCTAACAGTCGTGTCCAAGGTGGTCCATTTAAATGGTTCTCCATTGTGTCGCCTGTTTAGCTTGGTAAGTGGAGCCGTCAGCACCAAACCCAACTGTAATTGCATGTGTTGATGAATGACTTAATCATGACATGAGTGTTCCTGACTGAATTATATTCATTTATTTGAGTTCCATACATACTGTGTCCCTGAAAGACAGGCTTCCCTATTCAAACGTTAGCTTGTGAATACAATACAGTCGAGCAGAAATCATTTAGTGTGTTTGTTTATTTGCTTTAAGTCGTGATTTCCTCACCAAACCAACATCTGGCAAACTGACCTTTGCTATGTGAATTGGCAACATCCAGCAGTCTGCAGTGGTTGTCCACCACCCACTTTGAACAAGACATTTCCTCTTCATACTCTACAATGGTTCTTTCTGCGATCTTGAAGATCTCCTCGGCGGCTGCTGACAAACACTCGGTGATGAGCGCCCTCAGCAGCTCCATCTTTGCTGTCTTCACCATGCTGAGGCGGGAGAGTTTGTGGGTGCCGGTGCGTCTGAGGCAGAAATGAGCCCTGAAGCTCACGTGTTAATCCCGATAGCTTGGCAGCTCCAACTTTAATTCCTGTGTCCTGAGATGCTTCTTCACTCTGTCCACATACAGAGACGACATGTGACTCGGGACAATGAACTGGAGATCTGAAAGACGTTTAAAGGAAATATCAAGTAACAACATTAAGTTGGGACTCCCAATTTATCATCGTTTACTTAATAACAAACTTCATAAACCACTGATTTTATTACATCACAAAATCAAGTGTGATGAAGCTACAAAGCTCACAATAGATCTATGTATGTTTGTTGCTAAAACGTAAACATCCTGCACGTAACAAACACATCATGTGACTGCTCATGTGACAGCTGGATTGATTTCTGTGGGTTTAGCTTCTCTACTTCTTTCTCAAGGTTGCAGATGTGATTTTAGAGGAAGAAGTGTTGGATGAGCAGGGGATGATTCATCTGATGACGCAGGTGTTATCTGTTTCAGGATTATATTATTATAATATTATTATATATTATATTATAATTATTGTACAACTGTGTGTGTAGTATGTGCATGTGTGTGGGAGCTGCTGGGTCCACCAAGTGATGACCGCAGAGACTTTTATCGGACGGCATATGCTCAGCGCGTGAAGGCAAATGTATGAATACCTTGTCAGACCATGGCTCCTTGAGTTTATTCAGTCAATTAGAGCGTATTTGGTGTTATATTGTGGATGCTGACATATTTCCTTCCTTTTGCTGTTCTTAAAATACAATTGTGGAGTCTATAACATCACCTATAACTTTGTTTAGCCTGGGTTGATCTGTGATAGGACGTGCTCTGAATCCACATCGGTGACATGTTGTTATCGTGGCAACAGGATCAATCCAGTGTTCAACACCAGTGATGATTGTGGCAAAACAAATTTGTGGATTGCAAAGTGAATTGTGGGCACAACAACACTTTTTCAATTCTTAGTAAAGGTTTATATTGTCTCACAGGTAAGTTAAATGTAAGCAGATGTGGGAGGCAGTAGCTCAGTCCATAACGACTTGGCTTGGGAAGCGGAGGGTGGCTGGTTCAAGTCCAGCATGGACGGAAGTTGGAGAGGTGCCGAGGTGCCCCTCAGCAAGGCACCGAACCCCCCAATTGCTCCCCGGGTGCCTTCATGGCTGCCCACTGTTCCGTGTGTGGTCACTGTGTGGATTGATGGGTTAAATACAGAGGTCAGATTTCCCCATGGTTGCATGTTGCATGCTGTGTGTGGGACCAAAAAGAGGAATCTTAATCTTAACTAATTTGGCGTTATGACATTGTCACATCACTTTTGGTGGATTTTTTTTATGTTAATGATGAATCTGTGATAGTGGACAGACGGCGGAGCACTTGCTTCAGGTCAGAAACAGGAAATCTTTCCCACGGCACTCACACTGTACAACTCCTCACCTCACAACCCTGAGCCGTATAGTTTGTGTCCACATTAAAACTCTCTGCTCACTCCTGCAATAACTGTGAATTTCGCACATCTTAAATTCATACTATATTTAAGCATGTCATATTCCTGCTTACCTCATCACATTGTGGAAAAATGCAAACAACTACTGCAACTGTGCACACGTGTCTCTTGTACATAGGTTGTCATCTCTTTTATTTGGACTCTTCTTTACAGGCTGATTGGTTGTTCTATTATATGAATTACTTATTTGTGCATCATTTACTTGGGGAGTTTGTAGAGTTTATAGCGTATTTTATGTTTATTTCATTCTATTTTGAGCTATTTTAATTCCTAACACAATCCTTCCCCAATGTGGGATCAATAAAGTACAGTTATCGCTCTATCAAAGCAATCTAAACATCTAGAGAGAGGTTCCATCCCCGGTGGCATTACATCAGCGGCGAACACTGAACTGTTTCCGTCTCCTGTGGACAAATCTAACGGGGACCATGACAGTTCTCACCCTGCGGATCCAGCTCGTCCTTCCTGTCTCCTCCCGTCAGTCACCGCTCGATTAGCATGGCTAGCTTAGCTTCCGCGGGGGCTGCGCCGCCTGCACCCGCCGCTCCCAGGTCGGTCACCCTCCCGCTGGTTCGCCCGGAGCGAGACGCTTCAGTCAGCCGAGCGGTGTGGCGACGCGCCGACACGGGTCAGGTGCACGGGGTCTTCATTTTGAAAACAGGATTGGATGCTCATGCTAAAAACAGACGGAGGAGCCACCCACTTCTTCTTCTGTTGGCATTTGTCGGCAGCGTCATTACCGCCACCTACTGTTCAGCCCCCGGTACTCTTCTGTGACCTGACTCCTTGGCGACGCAACGCATCTCGATATTTTAACACTAGATACAACACTGAGGTTTAAAAAGTACAGTGGCAGCAACACTGCTTCAATCAGTGTGTGAGTGTATACAATCATCTTCTTCTTTGACCCACATCTGAAGGGACGGGGACATTGATAAAGACCCTTTAGAAAACAAAGAAATCACTGATATGTGCCTGTAGATTTACACAGTTAAAAGTTAGTTAGTGAACTTTATTGTCAACCAAACAATGCAAAAGGGAGTTACACAGATTGACATTGCGTTTCCCCATGCTCCAAATGTGCAAGTAATATATAACATATAACATACAACAAATAGTGCAAGCAAACAACTGTGGGAACGACATATACAGACAGACAATGCACCTATAAGTTGTGTAAAAAAAATAAATAAGTGTGCCAGAGTGTACTCAAATTTTGAGGTATGTTATTGAGGTTCTATAATGAAGATGCAATATGGAAAAGTGCAGAGCAGCAGTTGTAAACATTTAAGATATTGTGCATATAAAGAGAATAGTGCAAACAATGAGTCTTTTTAAAGTGCCTTGAGATAATGTAAATTATGAATTGGCGCTATATAAATAAAATTGAATTGAATTGAATTTTAAGTTATTTTGACAGTCAGTTGGTCTTTGTTTGTGTAATGAGCTACTAATGGGAGTTATGATCATGGTATTTTCTTGAGTGAGTTGAGCAGTCAACAAAATACCGTGATGATAAAAAAGACATAATGGAATTCATAATGGGATTCTTAATGACCTATGATCAGAGTGTGCTCTGTCCAGCAGGTTCATGAAATCGCTGCACACCAGATGGCACCATTCACCTTCCACAGTTCCTGTCCTCTGTGACAGTTTCAAACTTCATCTCAGTTTTTTTATCTGAGTTTACATTGAGATCCAGGGAAACTCACAGTAGATTTAAACAGACCCCAGACAAACAGTAATCAAGTGTTCAAAGTGTCCAAAGGTAAGAATGTGTTCAAAGTTAAATAGTCCAGTAGCAGTGATTGAGTGGGGAAATAATCCTTTTAAAGATCATTAATGTTGGCAGTACGTGGTGGGTGTTACATTTCCAGGCCATGTGCCTGTGAGAACGATAAACTGTGGTTCAAACACCAGTGATCAAGGTGACTGCTGAAGTGGAGAGCAGTGGGCCGAGGTGGTCACCCAGCCTGCCCGTTCCTGTTGTGGGCTGGGAGTTTCCAGCTATACAGCACAGGGGAAGCACCACAGGATGTCCTTTTCCTCATTCCTCAAGCATAGAATGACTTTGCGTATGTGTTACTGTGTTTCTCGTGTGTGTTTCTATGAAATAACATCATGTCAGTATATTCTGTTATTTCTGTCAGTTACTTTTCTTCTGTTGCAGTGATGCATTAAATAAAACCTCCAGAACATGGAAGTGTGACCCTGATGTAAACTTCACGCTTAGATTAAAACAATTGATTGTTTAAACTCAGTTCCAGTCCAGTCAGTATTAGATAATAAATTCTATCTTCAATAGTAGTCTATGTACACTGGTTAAAAATGAGTGGAGTTCTGTCAGGACAAAATAAGTAAGTAGTATCAATAGAATTATGATACTTATGAAGTAGACATGTGTCTCAGCATGGAGCACACAGGAGGACACAGAGCTGTAACCACAACTGTTTGATTTCCACCCAAATAATACAGCATTACAAAATGTGTTCCACTGTGCACTTATAAGAATACTAAGAATAAGAATGTCTTTACTGTCATTGAACACAGTGTACAATGAAATTATAGAGCCACTCCTTTACAGTGCAATCATACAAGTACAAAAATACAAACAAGTAAAAAAATACGTTATTTTAAACTGTGGAAATTGACAACATTTACAAATATACATGCAACTATATTCAATTAGCTGTATTGCACCTGAATGAGTATTGCACAGCACTGATTATGGCACAGTATGAGAAATAAACATATTGCACAGTGGATGGATGAACATTGCTGCTCAACTCCTCTTTGCCACCTTTTAACCAGGGAGGGTGATTAGTCAACTGGACTCTGCTCTTGTGTGTTTGCATTCATTTTGCACTTTACTGCCCTCTTGTGGCTTGACTTGACCCCTTTTTGTCAGTGTGACTGTGTCTCCCTGACAAAGACCAGCATATGTAGACTACAATAGAAGATAGATAAACGTGCAACGCGTGTAGAAACTGTACTTGCGTTTTATAAAATTACTTTTAGCGTCTTTTCTTCATAAGAGATAAGAGGTAGCATTAGCAGTGTGTGATTTATTATCGCTGTTACACAACCGTGTTGTTACACAAGGGACCGTGCAGTGTGTACGTTGTGTATGCAGTGAATGGGAGAGAGAGAGAGGATGAGGCTGGCACCAGCAAATTAGAAGTTGGCAGTATGGTTGTGCAATTATGTGTAGTTATGGCTCTCTGCCGTATACGACTCCAAAAGACAAAAGACCAAACCAAGTTCCCAGCAACTTCAGCCCTGGAGCGAAGCACAAAAATGTTTGCGGTCAGTTTAAAGAAATAATCCAAAGATTCCCTGTCCAGGCAGAGAGCAGCAAAATGCAAAGACTGTCAGCACAGGAACAGAATGAATGGGTCCCTTGCTTTCATGCTACTAACACAACTCTCCCAAAAGTTGCAGCAATACTGATATTAAGAGCAATTCATAAGAAAGTCAAGTGTTATATGGCCACAACTCACAAGTAAAACCAAGGATGATTTCAGTTTCTTCAACTTGCTGTGAAGTTTTTCCAGTTTTGTTTGTCTGCAGTGGCGTTTCCTGTAGAAAACCAGGTTGATGAGTGCACACTGAGTGACACTGAACCAAAGTAGTACACAGTCAACAGTGGACCCAAAACAATGAGCTGAAAGGTGCTAAAGTGTTCTCCACAGCTGAGATGGTGCTAATCCTCTATGGGTTACAATCGACCCCATTCACGCAATGAGCATGGTTTGTTAAATCTATGTTAAAAATATTGATTCTTGCAGAAGTAAATATTATTTCAAAGGTTTCACTAAGTCAGAGTGTGTAAATATGTGACCGCATCTAGACAATAGATGGATATAATTACTAAACCTACAGTATATGACCATAAGCCCCTCTCTGTGTTTCTCTTCGCAGCCGCAGATCCCTGCTCCATTGATGGTTTACCAACACTGGTCCTCAATGGAAGTTCATGCACCTCATATAGTGGAGCACTATGAAGGAATGAATGTGGCAGCTGCTGGGGGAATCCTACTACACCATCAGGTCACATGGTACACACACACACACACACACATGCTCTATCCCGCTGATCCCTCCACCCCTCCTCTTCACTGTCTCTCACTAATGCTGTGTACAGTTACAGAGGGGGAAAAGCGGGAGGGTTTTAGTGGTGGGGAGGAAGAGAGGGGGGTGGCAGCTGAGAGAGAGAGAGAGAGCAGCGAGGAGAGGAAGCGAGGAGAGGAGGAAAAGGAGAGGCAAGAGCAGTGTGAGCCCAGATTATAGCCAAACACATACTGAAAGAGGAAAGACAGGAGCGTGCAGGCCAGGAAGAAAGGTCCTGTGACACACTCTCTCCCCCTGTGTCAACTGACAAGACAGAAAGAGGATTACTCATAGGTTGTGGTGAGAGAAAGAAGAAAGAGACTGTGTTTCAAGGAGCGAGCGTTTCAGAGGACGGTGCTGTCACACAGGAGGAGGACAAGGAGGAGGAGGTGTGAGCGAGCGTGTGGGTTCAAAACAAACCAGCAAAGCCAGAGGTGTGTGTGTGTGTGTGTGTATGTGTGTGTGTGTGTGTGTGTGTGTGTGTGTGTGTGTGTGAGGGAACCTTAACAATCAAAAGCCCAACATCATCTACAAAGAACCCGTCTGACGTTTGACAAGCCATGCTGAGAACCAGGAGCCAGCTGAAGTCCTGCTGAACACCATGGCCCAGGTGAGTGGAGGCTCACACACACACACACACAAAGTTTTCTTCTTCTCTTGAGTTTCTGTCGTCGGTCTCTCACATTAACAAAATGCGTGATGTACGGTGTTTTAGCACAGGACTTATCCTGGAGCGTTGGACAGAGGTGGGAGCACGGGTCCTCTGAGTTTACTTACTTTTCAGGCGTTTCTGCAGCACACAACAACTCATAGTGTTATAGAGAGGATTTATTTAAACCATGGTCCAGAATGGACAAGTCTTTGAGTTTGGGAGAGTTGACGTACTCAGAAGAAATTCTGAGTTTACTTGTAAGGACTCAAGGCTGGATCACAGACTGAGCGGAACCTCCACAGGTTCCCAGACTTCAGGACTTTGTGGTATTTTGATTGATTTCTAATTAGTCCGGTAATATTCAACAACAAACAACAAAAATGGAAGTCAAACGTTTTCTTGAGTCTTGAGCCTTGAGTCTCTGGAGTGCAGCAGATGATTGACATGAGGGCAAAACTGGCTATCACATATTAACATGCGTCTTTCTCTCTACAGCATTTAACTTTGTATTCACTCAAACTGTGGAAGCTTGTTAGCAATAAGATAGCACACAGCTCAGTTCACTACTTTTCAATTATGTTATTCCAACACATGCAGAGTCAGCACCTGCACATCCAGTGGTGTGTGTGTGTGTGTGTGTGTGTGTGTGTGTGTATTGACTTTGTGTTTTAGAACTGCAGACGAACCGAGGAAGTGCTTCGTACCGACATGAACAGAGAGTACCAACATTTTGTGCTTGTCTTCGTGCGAGAGAGAGAGAGAGCATCTTTCTCAGACTGAAGCAGCGTTGTGTATTTTTAGCCAGTTGACTCAAGTGATGTGTTTTTGCTGTCTGTGATCTGCATGTGTGTATGTGAGGACTGTGAGATAGAGTGTGTGGTCTTTTCATAGTGTGTGACAGTAGTAAGAAGAGAGCCTGGGAGGTCTGTGGGCTCTTTATGGTATGTGGACATAGAGGACAGTGTCTCCTCTAAGATACAGAGCTCTATTTTAATTCAGACTCAGC